AATGAATATACATCATAAAAATAGTAATAAAATATATAAAAAATAATATATAAAATAAAGTTTAATACAATATTATCACACTTTAAAGTAACTGTAAAATAATAGATTTTCTGAAGCTACATTTTCAAAAACTATTTTTGTTGCTTCATATTTTTTTGTGGAAACAGTGATACATTTAAAGGTTTAGGGAAAGAAAGAAAGAAAGAAAAAAAGAAAGAAAGAAAGAAAGAAAGAAAGAACAGACCACCAAATCAGCATATTAGAATGACATCTAAAGGTGAATGAAGAAAATAAAAACTGTATGTTAATGGCTGTGGAAAATTCAGCTTTGTCATCACAAAAATAAATTAAATCTTAAAACAGATTAAAATGGAAAATAATAATTTATATTGTAATAATATTTCACACTATTACTGTTCTTACTGTATGTTTGATAAAATAAATGCAGCCTTTGACTAGTAAGTTAGAAAGCATCTACCTAGCCACCACTCAGATTACTCATTTACACACTTAATAATGCCCTAGCAACAACTCAGGACTCCTTAGCAATGACATATCGACCACAACACACTAGTATAGTTTCAGTGTCTCTTCCATTGGCAAACATCACAGTAGTATGCGATTGTGATGTGAGAATCTCTACTATGACATCACTACAGCTTGCAGCTACAGACATAAAGTTCTGTCACTCTTTTTACATCAATATCCAATTATTTCAGACCATGAAATCAGTCTTGATCAGTCTGAGTGAAATCTAGATTGCACCCCGAAGGGAGCGATATGGAGATACGCTATCCTTATTCAACAGGAGTGCTCCCTGCTCCTGTGATTGGCATTCTGGGTAGATGAAAGAACAGCTCCACCTGCCACAGGCATTCAGATGTGCGAGTGAATGCTGTCGCTGACAGTCAGACTCTCATCTTCAATTCTGCCTTTTGTCTGATTATTGGAGAGTGTTCACAGCCAGGGCACTGGGATCTTACATGCTGACAGGTCATTATAGCCATTGGCAATGTAACTTTGGACCCGAACATTTTTGGTGTGTTGCTCAGATAACATTCATTTCCAGAGAAATTGAGAGGGTGGTGTCAGTTCTCTCAGTGCTCAGATTATGAGGCTCTTAAGAGTGAAAACACTTTTATTTATTGGTGTTTCTTACACACAGAATTGTTAATGAAGTGTTTGATAATATACAAGGATCCCACATCCTCTGACCAATAATTTTATGATTACTGGACAAAATTATTGTATACAACTGCACTCATAAAGTAAATTTCTAGCCAATAACATATTTTAGACACACTAAGGAAAAATTTCTATAATTAACACAAAAAAAATGATAGCAGAAATTTACAATACTATTTGCTAATATATTAAATATTTACATTTAGTATACATTTACATAATAACACTTATGATTTATATATATATATATATATATAACATCAATTATAAAATTATATATAAGATATTACAGTTTTTGTTTTTATATTTTGAATGCAGTTTTTAAATAAATAAAAATAATATAAAAAATAATGTGGTGGTGCAAATGATGACGAAATTTTCATGTCAAATAAACTAAAACATAAAAACTAATAAAGAAATAAAATCTAAAATAGAATTATATATATATATATAAATAAATAAAAATTTGGACTAGGTGTGCAGTGTAGGTCCCTTTGAAAAAATACTAATGAAAAATACAAAACTGCTACAAAATTCAGTCACGTACCCAAAACAAATGAGCTGCTGTCTGTGTGTGAGTAAATAAGACCAGCTGCAATAATTAAAAAAAAAAACACGAAAACACGTACAGACACACAGACTGTACAGCAGCTGGCTTTTTAAAATGGAGTATGGTTGATCAGACCATCACTTGTCTCCAGTCCATTCTAACTCGCTGTCTGACAGCTGAACTAATCTAACTACATTAGGGAAATCTCTCTCTCAGGCAAAGTAATTTCAGGAACATGGATTTTAATGGACAGAAGATAAAAAAAAAAATTTGCAATAAGTGAAGTCAGGGAGCAAGAACATCTACCTGTGAATGATCACTTCTAGGCATTTCATACCATAAATGTTTTAAAAGTTGCATTTTTAATGGAGAAAGATGAAAACATTCAAATGAGAAGTCAGAAAGAGACTGATCACTGAAAAACAGATAAGGCCATTTACCAGATTTAAAGCACACACATTAGACCAAGTTACACAGGACCAGTGAGCAAAAACCTCTTTGAATGGAGTTGCCATGAACAAATCGTACTTTCAGTACATTTTCAAGGGCACAACATGGAAACGGCTTGAGTGCATTAGAGGACCTTCACCCCAGAGAATGAGGGCCCACCATGAATTACTGTACACAGTCTGGAGTGCCTTCTTTGTGATTCAGAGCATGGTGGATTTGTGACCATCTCTCTCTGCTTGATGGTGCTCGAGCTCTGAGCAGCTGCAGTGGGCTAATAGCAGGCAGGGTCAGCAGCAGGTCTTTACTCTCTGTGACTGCCGCAGTTTAAAAGCTTGTTCAGGCACACAAGTGCTGCTTCCTGTACTTACACTCATTCAAGAGCCGCTAAACAAACAAACACTAATCTTGATCAAGGGTCAACAGACAGCCACTGCTGATTCTGAGATTTCAAAATGCAGCACAATTGACAGACAGCACATTTTTTTAGAGTAAACCCATTTGCTTTTAAAGTACACTAATGTTCAGTTTTGTGGTTGGTAACAACCACATTTCTTATGCTGATAATAGTTGTGCTGCTTCAAATTTTTGTTGGAAATCATAACACATTATTTTTTCCAGGATTCTTTGATGAACAGAACATTCAAAAGAGCAACATTTATTTGAAATATAAATAATTTGTAGCATTATAAATGTCTTCTCTGTCGCTTTTGATCAATTTAAGGCATCCTTGCTGAATAAAAGTAGCCTATTAGTTTCTTTATTGATCACAAATGTTTGGATGTTAGTGTGAATTTTATATACTGTATAAAATCTGTTTCTGAACTTTCTCTACCCCAATCCAGTTTTCTGCTCTCACAGCTCCAGATGAATGAGGGATATTCTTGGTAGTGAAATACAGACCAAATTTAATTAACACTGTCATACTTCAGCTAAAGATTTGATAATGGCTCCCAGTGTAGAGTTGGAAAGTGAGAGATGAGCTATCAAACGGAGAGAGAAACTATCACAGTGGGATAATCCACTCAAATTAGATTTAGCCAAAATCCACGGATATGAAATTTAAGTCAATTTACTCAATACAATAGCATGCATAAGTGACATTTTCAGATAAATGAGTCTGACCCGTAATAGCACTGAATACTGGAGGAAACGGGTTAAGAGGTGTGAAGAGAAATGCAATCACGACTGCAGTAAATCACATTGCTTGTGTTTGTTAAGCTACAAATGTAAATTTGCTTCAAGCAACATCAGAGAAACTAAATATCATGATATTTCTCTCTTAACAGACATTAGCTTATAGCTCATAAACAAGGAGTTTTTACTCTTTGAAAATGTCTTTGGTTTATTAGCTTTATTTTACAACATTAAACACAATTTCACAAGCAATCCCATTTAAAATCTCTAATGTACGAGTCTCGGGGCATTTGGATTTGGAAAAATTATAAAAAGCATGATGCAACAAGCTCAGCTATTTGTTAAAGAACAAACAGTGCAGTCAAACAGAAGACGTTCTTCAAATGTTCTTCATGGCGGGATTTCCAGGAGGAATGAAGAGGTCCTTTGAGAACAGGTACGAAATGTCGCAAAATGAAGATTTTACAGTGTGGTTTCCTTCCGAGACACTCGCACACATTCAAAGCGCAGAATCACCATAAGTGAACATGTGAATGTCTAATGAGATTGAGTGGTAAGAACAGATTCCCGCTGGTGAGCTGGCAAAGCCTTCATAACCTGACAGGGAGATTTCTCAGAAAACATATGCTGCCTGCTTCTCTCGCTCATTCACACACATGCATGGTCTCACACATTCACCTACAAATATATATATATATATATATATAATTCTCCTGAAAGCTCAGGCAGGTTGTCAAAGATCAAGCATACACGGGAGCACCGCAGTAAATAAACTATTAGAATAACACACAAAATATGAACTGTCTCAAACTATACTTAAGTAGCAGATTATGAGGCAAAACTGTGGATTTGTGTCATGCCTGAGGTATTTGTGTAGGTTTTAAAATCAATTACACTATACAGAGGCACTATGTTTTCACCTACACACTGAAATTGCCTGTTGACTGAACAGTTGCTCGGTTGAACAGTATTTATGCAAGAATTTTTCCACTGATTTTTGTAAACGTAAAGTTGAGTAAACTGCTTCCAGGGTTATTATAGACAACTAAAACTAAAAACATAAAAAAATTACATTACTTGAAAAAAGTTAAAGTTTTAACACTTAGTTTAACTTGATGTACTAAAATAACTAAAGCTGAAAAGTGCCCTGGTGCATCTATTTAAAACAAAAACTAATAAAAATGACAAAAACAAACAACAAAGTTACTAAAACCTCAATTCAAATTAAAAACAGAAAAACAAACACTTTAAAACAGAAAACACACATTAAAAACATCAAAATATTAATAAAAACTTAAATAGTATCTCATATCTCACTTCTCAACTGAAATAAAATACTTCTATTTTACAAATGCAAACATGATATTCTTACATTACTGTATATTCACTAACAATTTGAAATATTCAGTAGTCTCTTAATTTTGGTACGGACATTTCTATACATCCATATCCAAACCTACACTCATGTGAGATGGTATGGTGTGAAAATGAGTGGAAAATTGGAAGAAAACAGCAAAGAAATGTGTGAAAAATGCAATGAAAAATGCATTGATATGGCCTCCCAAAAGAATTAGAAGATTATTATTATAATAATAGAAAAATTATTTCATTGTCACATCACTAGAAATTTTATGCATCCAACTGGAACCACAAATCTTAAATACATAAAACTCAAACCCACCTCCAACCACTGGCCATGGGACTGCATTTTGATGACCACGCAGGGATCCGGCTTGGAGAGGGTATCCCTGTCTGAGATGCCTTTGCAGGCGACCCGCAGCTCTACTTTGGTCAGGCAGGGGCTGTTGAACAGGCCCAGAGAATTGGCTGCAGACTCGTAGATGTCACTCATGTTTCAGGAAATAACTGCGCTAAAAGGGGGAAAATTTTATTTTATTTTTTATTCGATTTTTCTTTTAGCTCTCAAAGTAATGTTATTTATTACAAATCATTTCACAGTTTTAAATCTATCACAGATAGAATACAAAGATGTGTCCGACAAGCAGAGAAATCGACCAACTTGTTTGCAAAATGGATTGCTGTGGACTGTAAACCAGTGATATACAATACGGAAATAAATCAAACAATACTGTATACACTGACTTTTAAAGCCACTTTTTGTAATGTCTATTCAAAGATGCATTTAAAGTTGATTGACAGTCACACATAAAAATCACAAAATAAATAGCACCAAGCAAGTCAGATCATTTCTTTACTTCTTTTCTGTTTAAAGAATGCAAATAAGTCTGTTTTATATAAATGAAAATTATGTATCTGCATATTTCAAAATGTGTAATTTGCTACATAATGGCCCATAATTTTTCACTGGAATGTATTATGCCTGTGCGTTTATACTGAGACTTATGGGAATCCTATAGAGACAGTAATTTATTTAGCTGATGTGTGGGAAAATTTCTAATCAGAATCCCCACCATCCCAATCAGTTACAATATAGAGCGAATCAGCTGAGCTAACTGAAATTACACAGTGTATGCAGAGAGAGAGGGAAAAGGAGAGAGAAATCTGAGCTGATGAATGGATATTGAATGATGGATGGATGTCTTAATATAGAGAAAGAAAATTCCAGAATGTGCAATAGTAGTAGTGATGCTTGCCTTAGCAAACAAAAACTCTAATGGTAGAAAACACATCCTTAAATTGCAATGTTGTGCTAGTTACTGTCATGTCATAGTTACTGTATGAAATTTTGGCTGCAACCCACAGTAATCCAGCCAGAAGCAGACCATGAGCGGTAGATCTGACCTCTGAGAACTGCTCTGTGAAAGAGAACAACTCAATGAAAGGATTATTCTCAGCCAATGCAAAGTCATCCATCACTCCCACTGTATCACACTGACAGTCGCTGACAGCCTCATACATTATAGGTCAGCAGCGATAATACAGAGGTGAGCGGTTCTCTCCCTCTGTGTATGTGTGCAAACTTCTCAACATCGACGGCAAACTACGTCATCAGTCTTTCATCCTCTGGATGCTATTTTTGAGTGTTTTCTCAGCCAGTTTCCCCTCTATTTCTGTCTGTTAATGACTCTCACTGAGCCTCTTTATATAGACACACACAATGTCTGCAGCAGAAATAAAATTTTCAAGAAATCTTCAGTGCTAAATTACACCCATTCATAACACTTGAACTGATTAAAGCCCTTCTAACTGGTAAATAATGCTAAATATGGTATGCGGTTAGGGTTAGGCTTTCTTTTTAGCTTGTTTTTAGTCTTTCATCAAAATATAGCACTTAGCTATAGCATCAGTGCATAAGCTCTGACATATTGAGGCCTGGTGCTCATGCAGGTGAAGTGAGTTTGAATCTCAATTTTCTCAATCCCCCATCTTCGCCCCATCTAGCTACCATACTTTGAATAAAAATGGCATAAAAAAGCCAAAAACAGTAATAACTTTATTTGCTTTTGGAAAGTCTTGCCTCTTCTGGAAGACCAAGGTTGTGCAGGTGTTGAAAAATACTATTAAGTTGAATATAACACATAAAAAACATGCCCAGGTCACATTTTTCTCCCAAAACCAACAAGAAAAAGTAAGAAATGCTATTTTGCATAATGAAAATGGTGTTCGATCCATTAGGATTTTTTTTTTTTTTTTTTTTTTTTCGGTTTTCTTTTTTATTT